CTCTTCCGATCTCCCCCAAAACCCCAAAACCCCATTAGATGAAATTATTAATATGTGAACAATTATGAAATTAAGATTAAATGAAGTGGGCGTCAACTAAATTAATTATAATTAATATTAAGGATAATCTTTCTTAGATTTAGTTGAAATACTTTTTAAGTAATTCATCTTCCAAAGAGTCTTGCGTGTAATAGAGGCCTTTATAATTGATTTGTATCATTTGCGTTATTTTAAGATACCTCCTACTAACTAATTAAATTTTCTTAGTTTTATTGTAAATGACTAAGATGCTATAATGATTAAACTTCCCTTTAATTCTGCTTCATCAACCTTCTCTATTCAGGATCATACTCCCTATTTAGAAGATCATTAATCTTTAGATCAACACTTTCGCAAGAAATTAAATCAGATCTCCAAAAATCTGGAAATTCTAGTTGACAGTGCCCATTAACTTAAGCAACACTTGGATTTAGTGTTAGGGGGATAATCATTCCTGGCACATCCTTAACTCTAAAGAGTTTTCCCTCATCAAACTCTCTAGTGACCTAAAGATGGTAGGTAACCTCCACCTTATTGCCTTTTGTGCTAGGCTGTAGATGCTGGGCAAAGACAACATCTTCAGGTTTATACGGTCTAGGGAATTTATCCCTAATTTCATCTAGTTTAGTGCTCTTCAAACTTGGATCATCTAGGATGAGATCTATTATCACTCTATGATCCTCCTCTAAATAATTGGAAAGCACTTAAGGACCAACTCCTGGTCCATGATTCCTAGCAATCTCTTCGACATGAATAAACACATTACCGTATCTTCCTTCACACTTTATTGTTCTCACCAATTTAACAATAACTTTAGATACTGCTGTTAAGCATCTTCTGTTATCAACTATTGTCTTTACTGTTACTTTATCATCAGTAAGATAATAGTTTCTTTCAAACCTTGATTCAAGAATATTACTTCCTTTGACTTTGAACCAGCCTCTCAATCTGTAAGAATTATTCTCTGGAAAATCTTGTTTGGGCTAAACTGGTGGCTTTGAGATAAAGAATCTCTTACTAAACTTGCCAATGGTTCTCTCAGCATTATTTAGTCTTCTATCTTAACCCTTGAGAATTGCCTCAATACTGTATCGGATTCTTATTTTAAGTTTTCCAGATCTGCCTAAATGTTACTTAGAAAAGTAACTGGCTGGAATCTTATTACCGTTTTCTTCCTCAGGGATTTTAATCTTAAAGCTAAACTCATATTAGCCTATAGCTATAGTTGAGTCTTTGAAATATGCAAGGGGTTATGCATTGTCAAAAATGAGGAAATGATTACTGCAACTCTTTTGCTAATCTCTCTGGGAGTAAACTTTGTACTTAAAAGTTTCCTTTCCTTTCAATCTTATTTCTAATTTATCAACTCCGCTATGATCAATCTGACTCATTGGCTTGTTTACCATTAAGGAGACTACACCATAAATTTCTTCTCCAGGATAGTACGATTACTTATTTGTTTAAACATATATGAATCCGTGTGAAAACGGTATTTGTATCGGAATTTTTTCGAGAGTTTGTCTATTACCCATTATTCACTAATATTAATAATTTATAACTATTAATGATAATTATGACTATTAACATCGTAAACCTTCAAGGGGGTTTTGGGGTTTTGGGGTTTTGGGG